GAGTCCTTCCTCCAACAGTGAGCCAACCCCCCGCTACGGCCCCTGGGACCTAGTGAGCCCAGAAAGACCCCGAAAGGCACGCGACTTTGCAGAGAGAATCAGGAGAAAGGCAAGGGCGTGTCTGGAACCTTCCCGGACAGAGGGCTTCTGTCCACACGCGCACGCCCACACTCAAACTCTTCCTCACTCCATACTCACCCCTCCCTCCAAGGTCTCCATGGAGGCCCCATGCCCCAGGGGGGCGCCTCTGCACCCTGCCCCCTGCCCCAGAATGGAGGCGGTGCCCCAGTGGGGGCCGGCAAAAACTGCCATCTTGGTCCACGTCGCCCTGTGGCTGCCCACCGATCCTTCGCTGTTAATCAAACCCAGTCCGAAATGAAACTACGGCTTGCTTCTCGTTCTAGTATGAAATGTGCAAAGCGCAGACCATATCATTAACATAAAACTTCCAGAAATAAGGCCACTTTCCAGACAGACTGTATTAATTGCATCAAGCTTCCACAGCTACGGTGGTCTCCCTCACGGCGTCCCATTGGAAGGCTCCAGTTATAAAAACCAACACAAAATGAACACTGGGATATAATTGAAGGAGGAGAAAAACGATAGATTCTACTGTGAAACCCTACTATTTACTTACAGGTATTCTTTTATCTTTATTGTCCTTTTAACCCATGCCAAGAAACCCCAGACTGGTTAAATAACACAGCAAGCACAATTTCAGTAGAAAAGTAAATTGAATTTAACTTTACAAGATTGCCCTGTGATTTCAGCATATACTAATGACTGCAACTGACTCCTTCTATTAAATCCAAACACTTCACTTCCCCGAGCCGGGATCCTGTGTGTTCTTGCTGGAGACCTTGAACTTCACCAAGCGCATGTATTAATCACTGTGGCTGATGACCATTTGCGGCTTTTAAATATGCAATGAAGTTTCTTGGTTCCTTCACCACCTCCCAAAGCTGGTATACCACCTGAGCCAGCCAAGAGGCTAAATGCCTTTAAGAATGGAAACTAGGGATCCAAGCTTCAAGTAAGATTCCAGATGGAGCCAGGCAGGTAATGATATAATGATGTGAGACTCATCCTGCTTGTGCATGAATCAGAATGTCTGGAGGGCTCGCTCAGCAAGAGGCATTGTTCTCAGCACCTGGCATGCATGACCTCATCCAAACTTCAGGACACGCTTTCAGTGACCCCATTTTACAGGTGAGGAAACTGAGGCAGGGGGGCAGAAATGACTTGTCCACGGTCACACAGCCAATACAGGACAGAGCAGTCTTCACTCCTCAGTCTGACACTGTCTCTAATGACTGCCTCCCAATCATGGAAGCCTCAGAACAGGGAAAAGGTTTGGGAGTCCAAAACCCACCCCCACCTCGGGAACCCCAGCCAAATCCCACACAGGCAACCCCAGCATCTCAGTAATTGAAACTGATCAGTATGTTCTGCTCTGAAGATCAGTGTGAGAGAGGAGCCTTGTTTTTAAATGCTACATATGTACCACATGGGCTTCCCTGGTAGCTCAGTGCTAAAGAATCTGCCGGCCAGTGCAGGAGACGCAGGCTCCACCCCTGGTCTGGGAAAGTGCCCTGGAGAAGGAAATCGAAACCCGCTGCAGTATTCTTGTCTGGAAACTCCCATGGACAGAGGTGCCTGGAAGGCTACAGTCCAGGGGTCGCAAAAAAGTCGGACACAACTTAGCCATTGAACAACAACATTGTACTCTATATATGTATGTATGTGTGTGTGTATGCTAAATCACTCAAGTAGTGTCCAACTCTGCCAGGCTCCCCTGTCCATGGTATTCTCCAGGCAAGAATACTGGAGTGGGTTGCCATGCCCCTCCTCTAGGACATCTCCCCGACCCAGGGATCAAACCCACGTCTCTTACATCTCCTACGTTGGCAGGTGGGTTCTTTACCACAGACGCCACCTGGCAAGGCCAGAAGGGGAAACTGAGGTCCAGAGAAGGGAAATGACTTATTCAAGGTCACCAGCCAGGTGGAGTCAGGGCCCGGACCAGAGCCCCAGACCTTTGACTCCCCAGGCACCTTGAAGAAGTTTGTATATGGAATTTCCCAGGGAAGACATTTCAGTTTCCAGGAACACCCCCAACTCAACAGTCACAAAGCAAAGGGGACCCCGAGTCCCTTCTCCCTACTGTGACAACCAGAAGGTCTGGGATTGAGGTCCCGGGAGGCAGGGCTGTTTAGGGTGCTTCCAGAGGGAAAGATACACAAACACACATACTTGTGTGGTTTTCTCCCCCATAAAATCACATCCTTCTATAAAGAACCTCGAATGCATTCACAGGCATGCAATTAACCTGGATGAACACGGTTACACTGGGGTTTTCCATATTAAGTTGAAGACAGAGGTTCAGTGCATCCTGATCCAAAAAGGGACAAAACAAAGTTAAGGCCGGCAGCCCCTTTCTGCCTTTACAGAGGACCGCTTCTTCTAACGGGTTACTGGGAATTTAATGACTCCACTCAAACTACTAATTGAACAGGCACTAAAAACACTTTAGCAAACAGCCCAGTGCCAGGGACAGAAGCCACAAAGGGACAAAAACCACTGGAATGGGGTATTTTTCAGGTACTGACACTGATCTGAAAATATGATGGCGCAAACTGACACAGGCTAATTACCGCAGACCCAAGGAGGAAAGATCAGGGCTAGGGATCAGGGCAGAGCGTCCGAAGCTGAGAGCTGGCCCCTGAGCAGGTCAGGAGGAGAGGCCCAGGGACCCAAGAACAGACACGGCCCCATCTTGCCCCCCCTCCCCGGCACTGCCAACAACCACAAGGGCTGCTCACAAGCTCTCAGCCCTGACGGCATCAAGTTCTAAAGTCCAGGAAGGCCTCTGAGCCAGGCAAGCCAAGGCCAAAGGGGAAGCGGGTGCAGGATGGGCAGCCCAGGATCAAAGCCCACCTCTGCCCTCCCAGCAGCTCCCTCGGTCCCTATTCCCATTCCACCACCTGACCCATCACACTGCAAGCTACAGGAGGGCTGGGACCTTTCGGAACTGCACCTCGGTTTGCACAAGAATGATCGAACGAATGAGTGAATGCATGAATGGGAGCCTTGATAACCTCATGTCTCCGGGGCTCATCTTCTCAACCACAAAGTAGGAACAGGAAAGCTACTTCCTAAGGTGACTGTGAGGATTAAATTCAAGGTACACCACATGCCTAGCACAAGGCAGCACACAGTAGGCCTTCAACTTACGTTCCCTACAAGGAAAGCAGGCTGCACTGTGGCTAAGCGGGACAGAGTAAGAACATTCCCCAGGATGTAGGCAGAGGTGCACGACCCAGCAGGAAGCAGGGTGGCCTTGTTGGGAGATGTCCTGATGGCAAATCCCAGTTTGCAGCCCGGGCCCAGCCACTGCCCCCCCCCCCACTCCTGAGCCTTGGCTTTCCCATCTGTAAAACGGGTTAATTAACTCGCACTCAGCCATAGCTTCTAAGCAGAGCCAGAGATTAAGCACAGTGGAAGGCTGAGCCAAGCCCCAGGCAACTCCACGGCCAGGGAGAGCCTGTTCCTGCACCAACTTGACCGAGTCCAGTCATGAACACTCAGGCTGACCGTCGACAGTACGACCTCCCCCACCAAACAGCTGCAGCATGAATTACAGGAAGTCACAAGAGCCACTCGACCACCCGGACGGAGCAGGTGCCCTGCACTCAGCAAGCAGGGGTTACAGCACAGACCCACGGAGCCGGGACAGGATGCCCCATTGCCCTGGGCACCCGGGCAGCTCGGGACAGGGAGCCGCCCTCTTTGCAAACTGTGCAGACGCCTTCCTGGGTGATTCAGTCTCTGCTCTGTGCATTCAAGACCCAAGCCCGGTACTTATGACATCACCATCTGTCACAGGAAGGGGCGCTGAAGGCTGCAGGCCACCACCCCACCAGCAGGAAGGCCTGGAGCTGGGCTGCCCATGGCCCTCTGCAGAGCTGCGTCTCTAACAGGGGCCACCCCTTGGGAGAGCTTCAGCTAAAAGTAAAACCTGCCCTCCCTCCAAAAAAAACCACAAGTCTCCCTTTCACTGCCCAAGTCAAGAGAAAGCCAGCAACATGCCTGGTGCCAAAGCAGGGACACACGGAACCTGCCCTGGCGGGGCACTCACCCTGTCCTTTCCTGGTCCCTGCGGGGCACCCGCCACCACCCATGTCTGTATCAGCAACAAGGCTCCTGCGGCCTCAGTGTCTTACATCAGGCTCTGCCGAGATATTAAGCAGGAGAGGCTGGGATGAGGAGTCCCGGCCTGCACACTCCAGGGACCCCAGGCCGGAGCAGGAGTTTGGGTTTTGTTTGAGGGGGGAGAAGGGAGGTAACAGAGCACAGGTCAGGTCGCTGCACTGTTCTGTCTGCGCATCTGTATAACGGGGCGGCCACGCCAACCCCAGAGCTGGGCGCTCAGCCCTGCCCCCTGCCCTGCGCACCCCGCCCCCCCCGACCCCGCACACCCCAAAATGTCTCACTCCCTCCCAGAGCCGAAGCTAAAAGGCTCCTCCAGAGAAACTTTTTTTTCTAAAAGTTAATGGGCAACATATTCTCGCAAAGAGAAACTCAGCATTTTGGAGGGCTCCGGCGATGTACACAGACAACCAAAGAATCATCTCCTGGCCGTGTCTTGGCGGGGTGGGGAGGGTAGTGGCTGGGGTGGGGAGAGCAGTGGCGAGGGCAGAAGAAAACCTCAGATGTTAAGAGTTATCCAATTAAACTTTAGCTAAACAGCCGGAAGAGATGAAATTTGGAGGCTGAGAGTGAGATCTCGGAAGGGGCGGAGGCATGGGGGTGGGGGGACCTCCTGACCGATGGGGACCTAGGCACGGGGTAGAGTTGTGTCATCATCCTTGGCACCTCTCCCCTGGGCCCCCACACCTTTGCCCCAGCACACCTGCGAGAGAGGCAGCCGCCAGCCCTGCCCAGGGCACCCCCGCACCCCCCAGGAGCCCGCCCCCCACTCCACCGCGGCGGTCGGTTACCTGACAACTGACACTGACATCCAAAGGGAGCCTCCGTCTGACCCTCACCCTGAGTCCCGTCACCCGAGACAGGGAGCGCGCTGCAGCACGGCAGGGGGACGCAGGGCGGCAGAGCGCCCAGGGCGCGCAGAGGCGAAGTGATCGCGGATGGGTGAGGGTGGGAGGAGGAGGCAGCTATGGGGGCCATCGCTGGCAGCTGGGCAGGCCTGCACGGCCCTGGAGAGAAAACAATAGAAAAGGCTGGTCAGTCGGACCCTGGACTGTGCGAGGGCTTCGGGGAGTGGAAGGAACGGGGCCCGGGGCAGAGGGCTGCAGGCCGCCCTTGTGGGGTGGGGGCGCAGGGTGCCAGCCCCTGCCGTGGGGGGGGGGGGCCAGCCAGGGCTGGGGGCGGGGCCAGGGAAGTGGGCGGGGCCTGACGGGGTCCTGAGGCTACAGCTGCCATGTGGGTACCAGACTCCCATCCCAGGGAGGTCTAAAGCCCAGGGCTGGGGCACCCAGGGGCAGTCAGGACCCCTGATCCCGAGAAGGTCTCCCCAGGTGGGGGCTTCTGGTGTGTCCCGGAGCAGACTCCACTGGGGGATCTGTTCCCTCCCACATCTGGGCCACCCCCCACCCACCCCCCGGAAGAACCAAGAAGTCCCAGGCCGCCACTGTGTGCTCTGTCAGGATGGGCCGTCTGTGCAAGCCTAGGACACCTCCAGGTGGTCCCCTCCCAGCGCCTGGGCACTGCCCAGCCTCCCGCCTGGAGGAGGGCCAGCTGGTGCCCTTTACAGCCCAGAGCAACTGACACCGACACGCAGCACCCAAGCCCCAAGGTCTTTTCAAAGGCTTTGAACTCAGCCCCCCCTCAGCCGCCCCAGAGAGCCCTGGCACCGCTCGGCACCCCCTCTTCACACCTCCCCGTGTCTGACAGCCGCGACGCCCGGCCAAGGGCCTGCTGGTCTCCGCCCAGCCCCACAGCTCGCCTGGGCTCCCCGGCAAGGCCTGCGTTTGATTTGGCCGTTTATCTTAAATGGCTAAGAGACCACCAGGGCAAAACATTTGTGTGAAGCCCTTGCCAAAACCACAAGTGAAGAAGCCCAAATTCCCTGGGTAAATAATTGAGCAGGGAAGCATCAGAGAGACAAAAGGAAAACATCAACAAGATGACGGGCAGCTGGGCTCCGGGGCTGGCTCTGCCAGGGACGCTCCCCCCACCCCCAGACTGCTCAGGGCCCCGCACAGGTCTGGGGGGGTGGGGATGTGCCCACTCTACAGCCATCACGAGGGAGCCACAGAGCCCTGCAAACTCTCAGCAAGCCAGCAGCCTGCCAATCTTCATCAGGAGTGAGCTTCCCAGCATGCCCTGGGGGCAGGGCTCAGCAGACCCATTGCACAGACCAGGAAACTGATGACATGACCGCAGAAAACTGCAGACACCAGCAGCCAGACCCACCAAAACCCTGGTGGCTGCCTGGCTCCAGAACTGGGGCTCCAGAACTCGGTATCTCCTGGGTCTCCAAAACGGGTATTATCTTGGACCAGGAATATCAGAGCATGTGAAGACCACCTGCATGTGTCCTTCCAAGAAGTCAAAGCTTAACACCCATACCAACACCTGGTCCTTCTAGGCCAGTGAAGACCGTGTGCTAGGTTAGGCTCTGGGCCGAGCCATTTCTGAGCCCATGACAGCCCTGGAAGGTGTGGCCAAGACCTTGTGTACTGTTCCAGCCACAAATGCTGAGCGGAAGGCCGTGCCCCAGATTTGATGCAGGAACCTCAAGAAAGGTCAGCTAATCTGAAACCAGTGTCCCCCGCCTCCTCCCAGAAGCCTGCCCTGCCTGACCCTTGCCCATAACTCCCCGGCGCTGGAGACAGCACGTTCATCCTCGTCCACACCTGCCTTCACACCACGGAAGGCACAGTGGCTTTGTGCGGAGCACCTGTCACAAGTAGCTGGACTCACTTCACCACAAACACCCCGCTCCATAGGGAAGACCACCTACGATCTAGGGTGCGGGGGTGAGGGGGACTGAGGCTTGGGGAGGTTTAGACTTGAATCTGGCGTGTCTCCCAAGTGTGGAAGTGCCCTGCCTCCTCTGGGGGGTGAGGAGGGGCTGCAGCAGGGATGCGGGGGACCAGGGTGCCCCAGGATCCTGAGAGGCAGGGCCATGAGGGTTGGGAGGAAGCCGGAGGGTCCTTGGGCTGAGTCGGGCCTCCGGAGGTTGCAAAGAACAACTTCCGGCCCCCAGGTTCTGGGTGAGGCCACGGCACACAGCCACCACCGTTTCCCACGGCTGAGAAAACCAGCCGGAGTGCCCAGGTAACAAGCGCCCGGTCCCAGGCTGGAAGGGAGCAGAGCCTGTGTGTCCGTGGTCGGGAGGAAAGACCAAAGGGCAGGTCCAGCCACACCCCTCTCCTTCTGGAAAGGTCGGGCTTCGTGAGGCCAGAGTCTGTACAGTCAAAGTCATCCTCCAACTCGGACAGGGGTGGGGGGCCAGGCCGCCCCCGGAGGGGCTCCCAGGTGACCTCGTTAGACTTCTGGCCTCCTCAAAGTCCACCTGCTCCGACGAGCCGCTCCATGGAGGCAGAGGAGGGCGCAGCAAGGGCGCGGGGGCTTCCAATCCTAAGCAGCCCGCAGAGGCCTCTCAGGGTGCTCTCATAAGACCCTCTGCCCTGGGGGAGGCCCCCCATCCCACCCAGAGCAGCTTAAACCAGAACCCCGCCCACAGGCGGAACTCCGAAACAGCCTCTTTCTGAAGCTGCAAAAGCCAAAGATGATACGAGGAGCCACCTATTGTATGATGACAGGAAGTGTCCAGAAGAGCAAATTCAGGGAGACGACGGAAAAGGAGAGGAGTGGCCATCAGGGGCCCAGAACGGGGTGGGCCGCGGGAGGTCAGGGCTAAAGAGCAGGGACACTCTGGCCTCGGTGTGCTGATAGCTGCACTGACATCCTTGTGAGCAAACTCAAAACCACCGACTGCGCAGCTTAAACCGGTGCATCTTACATTGTGTGAACCTTATCTCGATTTTTTTTTTTTAAGCCCGACATGAAGACTGGCCACAGCATCTGTCCCAGACCACCTCCCAGCCCTGGGGGTGGCTACCTCGCAAAGTGCAGCCAGGGAATCCAGAATGCCCTGGACAGAGCACTCGACCCTGTGACCAGACTATACACCTACAGACAAGCGGAGGAAGCCCGGAGCGCAGAGGCCCCGCTGCCTCAGAGTCCGGCTTCGGCTCTGCCATCTCCCGGCCGCGTGACCCGGGCTGAGTCACCGTCTCAGAGCCTCGCCTTTTAAGGAAGGTCAGGACACGCCTGGCCAGAGCCAGGCTGCCAGTAAACACCCAATAACCGTCACTATCATGCATTTATTTTCCGTTCTGGAACTTTCCCTAACTCCCTATGGGTCCCCCCCTCCCCCCCGCCACAACCCGGCAGCGATGGCCCCCTACAAAGCCCTGCGAGGCACTCCTTTCAAAAGACGCTTTCTTCCGAGGTCCAGGCCGGCTCTCTCTGGACCTGTTAGAGACACACGCACACCGAGGTATGCGGTGGAGGGACGCCCAGACGCCATCTCGGCTTTGCGAGGGATCCGAGGTGGCTGAGAAATAAGACCTCTGCGGGCCCACTCCTTGTCGTGGAAGTTCACTTTCCTTACAGGAAAGAGAAGCCAACAATGGCTGCACACGTCATCTCGTTGAAGCCCAATAGCTTTCCCATCAGACGGCTATCAGGAGCCTCCTGTCCACGAACAAGGAAAACTGAGGCTGGATGTCTGAGACCACCAAGCCCAGAGGGGCGGGACTCTCGCTCCATGCAAACAAGGAGGGACAAAATGTCCAGAAGCAAGACCCCTAAAGCGTTTCCGAAGCTCCAATTCCGGGTGATTCTGAATGCCTCCCTCCGGTGGGGGAGTCTGTGACCATGTCCCTTCTGGCGGGGGGCCCCTGCAGACGGTCCTCCGCCCTCACTCCGCACACATGCGCAGTACCCAGCAAACACGCCCACACCGACCCAGGCAGACACACAAAAAAACGCCTGGAAAAGCCCCAGCCTGGTTTCGAGGCGAAGGCTCGCCTTTTTCCCATCGCTGCATCCTCGTATACCCTCCCACAGGGGAGGGTTATAGATCCCTAGCTAGCAAAGAGGTGCTCTAGAATACACGGGTACAGGAGATGTATATTTTTCTCCCTACTGCTGCCTTTCAATTGATACATTTTTTAAGCCAAGAACTCCTACCGATAGTGCAAAAATGAGTCATAGATCAAGGAGGGGAGACAGACAGGGAGTGAGTGTGTGCGAGAGCGGACCACTGGCAAGCAAACCTGACGGTCCCTGCGCCCCCTCCCCCCATGCCAAGACATTAATTCTCACAAGTCGGAGAAAATTACTATGCATGAATGCAAAAAGCATGATCAGGAGTAATTAACATGGCTTCATATGCAAATTTTATTAATGCAGAAGTACAAAGTCATTATGCAAATGAGACTTACGTCAACTCTCTTGACAAATATTCATCTCTGAGGCTCAAGTTTCTTCCTTTTTATTTATTTATTTAATTTCTCTCCCCACCCCCCCACCCCCCCACAACACACACTTTTTTTTTCCTGGTTGTTTGGTTTGGTTTTCTTGTTTTGTTTTGTTTTTTTGCAGGTGGGGGCAGGTAGCGCTGGTGGCCACTTCAGTGGCAGCAAACCACGAGGACTGTTTGACAAGTTTGCAGAGTTGTTTTTCAACCAGAGAAATTTATTCTTGCATTGTTGATTTTGGTTTTTTTTAGAGGTGGGGGGGGCTGCTGCTGGCAGGTACAAGACAGCTCATAGGAGAAGAGGAAAAAAATTAAAAAAAAAAAAAGCTCTGGGCAGCAGCAGCCAATCACAACGGCCAGAGCCTATAATGAGGGCGATTGATGGCTGTTTGGCTTTTACTGCAGGGTAATGAACGAGACACCAGTCTGAGGAGGGGGAAAATATGAATATTCATGAGACTGTGCTCCTGCCTTTGATGATTAAAGAAATTTTTAATATTCAAATAAGCACTTGCCAAGTGATTAACAAAGAACATGCACGCAGAAATATGGAAATGGGAGCCGGGAAAGATTTGAGAGGCGAACAGACTGCAGGAAAGGCAGCCCCGAATTTCATAAACAAGATAGGCAGATAACCCAATTCGCACCCAGGCAAATAAAAACATTTCTTTCGGATCGCTTCAATATTTTGCCAGCTACTTT